GAAAGGTAAACTTTTTAGTAACACACAAGACTATGCTGCCTCAGATTATTTTCAAGTAACCATTTAAGGTCATTTCTATTTGCAGGGAGACAAGAAAGGAGCTTTAGATTGACTTTATACCTTTAACTGCAAGAATACGTAAGGAGATAGGCACGAATGTTATATTTTATTTTCAACTGGCATATGCATAGGCATTCTCTGAAAGCTTTTATTTATACCTTTCATGAAACAGCCAAAAACAGAGTAGCATATAGCTTTAAGGTATTTTTTTCTAAACAAAGAAAGTGCATTTGCAAAACAATGTTGCTAGCATGTGACCTTCTCCAAAATTCTTAGCTGATTTGTTCTGATCAATACTTCTCAACAACCACTCATGCAAGATTCTTGAAAAACTAGACATAGAGACAGAGAGATAAGGGAGGTCTCACTTTAAAAATCATTATTTGGTTATAATATTTGCTTATAAGGACATTTAGAGTGGCAGATACTGCAGCCCCACACAGGAAGCATTTTCTCTGGGTACCTTTCTAATGAAGTAGTCAAACCTCCTTCTGAAGTATCTTCCCCCAAACCAGATCTACGATACTATCAGCCTGTAACTATCAGCTTCTGCCCTCCAGTGCTCAGATAACAGCAGTCATCACAGACAGAAACATTGCAGATCACTACATTTAGACCCAAACCTCATATCATTTTCTGATTAAAATTAGCTTGGTTAGGGGACCTGGCTTAAAGATCGGAGCCACTTTCCAAACTGAGGTCATATAAAGCAACACGTAAATACTGAAATTTGGGGAGTACGCTTCTTCAATCACAATGTCTAGCTAGCCTTGGATGACAGCTAGGAAGTTGAAGCTCTCCTGACTACTTTGTTTCTTTTTCATAATTCCAAAGAACTAGGTTAGTAAGAACACATGTAAATAACTGAGAAAGTCTATCCCCTAGTGGCTGCAAACAATCTTACCTTCTCAAGCAAGAAGCCGGCAGTCCTGCAAGTCCTTTGCACATCTTGGCTAACAGGGTGAAAATCGCAAGCAGGAAAAAAATGCGGCAGGAGGAGCTGTGGCTTCTGTTTTCAGCGCACTTCGCCTTTCTGCTGGTGAAGATGCTGTCAGAATCCTCTGAGCGCGTCTCGCTCCCAAGCCTGTAGGGGTCTCTTTTATAGCCCAGCCCTGACCGTCCAGCCAATCAGGTGACAGCTCTGCAGCGCCCGACTCCTCCGTCTCCCTCTACCCCTTCAGCCCCAGCAAGGGACGGGGGGAAGAGAGGACTGACGCATCGACAGGGCCAAGCCAACACGCAGAGAAAATCCTCTTGCAAAGTAGACAGGCAGGAAAAAAAAATTATTCAGCCTCTCTACAAATGCCTGAGGTGTTGAACTCCTACAGAAGGAGAAAAAAGAATTTAAAATGCTTCAAAATATAAGGTCTGTACATTTGTCTGCAAAAACAGTATCCAGAAAAGTTGCCTCCTGGAAGGAAAGGTGCCAGCAGAGGTAGGGGCTTTTGTCGGGGCTAACTCCCAACCACTTCCTCTTTTTGATTAGAAACATCCTATTACACATGGTCCAAGATCCCAGCCTTCTCACTGTTTCCAAAAGGGAGTCGGTAGGATCCTTGTCTCCAGGCAGTGATTTGCAGAAGTTGCCTACTCGGTTGTCATTCAAACAGGGATGTGGGGAGAAATAGCAGGATGGCAGTCATATGCCCAGCAGCAGCATGGAAAAGCTAGTCCAGGGGAAATAGATTCACAGGTCTGTAATCACCCCGAGTGTGGAATGTGGAATGCTTCTCTAGAAACCTTAGCAAGAACAGAATCCAGCCTAGCATTGACCAAACTCTCCCGCACCTGCCTGCCTCCTATAAAAAGCCTAAAGCAGCAGCTTTAGGATCCAGGAGGGGGCAGAGGAACAAATACGGACACCAATTCTTATTAGCTAACAGCTTTCTGTCTTATGCCATTCTAAGTCCCCAAACTGGTATTTCAAAAGAGAAAGAAAAAGGGAAAGGGAGAAAAAGAGAGTTAGAGAAAGCAAGCAGGTAGAAAAATATCCAATTGCTTTGACTATCACTAAGTTTTACACTGAAGATAAAAATACTCAGCCCTTAAAGTGATTCTGGATACCTGGGCAATTCGTATCTTTTGCATCCAACATCATGGATGAATTCTTAAAGAATGAATTCGCTTAGGCGTTTCACATCTTATAGCATAGCTCAAATACTCACACCAGAGTTATAGAGGAATCTTCTTCATTAGAAAAGCTATGCAGGGAAGAAGGAAATTAATTTCTCTGTCTGACCAGAACAGCTTTTATTTTGAAAGCAGAAAGGCTTCTAATCACAGCTATTGTGAGCCATATCTTATGGTTAAGAAAAAGAGAAATAAAACAGTTTAGGCTGTGAAGTTAAAAAATAGATGGGTTCCGGGGGAGGCAGAGATACTGAGAATACAGAAACGGTGAAGAGCAATGCCTGTATGTGCCCCTGCCCCCTACGTACTACCCACCCCCAACCCCTTCTGTGACGAGCACAGCCAGGAGATAGCAAACAGAAAAAAGTAAAAGAAACATAATCCACAGAAGATGCATTTAAACTGTAAGAAAAAGTCTCTAGCCTTCTCTCACAAAGACAGAGAGATATTTATTAGATTAGCTACTGGGCAACTCTTCCTTGAATTATAACACAGAACAAAGGAAAGCTGGCAGCCATCCCTGGGGGTGGTGTGGGAGTGGTTGCAGCAGTGTGAAATGGGAGAGGCCGCCAGCCTGAGGAAGGCAGACCAGGAAGATCGAACCAGTTAGAATTGGCATCAAAGAGAAGAGAATAATTAAAAGGGAAAAAAGGTCACTGAAAGGAAGACCAGGGTCTTCTTTGCTTATCTGGGCAGATAAAAGGGTGATCATCCAAATAATTTGATTTTAGAAACATGAGTGAAAACCCCAAAAGATGTACTGATGCCTGAAATCCACAATGAGAAATTCATGTCTTGGACCCAGAACAAGAGAAGCCTGGCTAGTTGTGAGTTAAATATAAGTCACTGCAGTAGATGAGCTGAATGGGACTTTAAACACAGTCTAGTCCAACACCCTCATTTGACCAAAGGGGAAATAGAGACCCAGAGAGGGAAGGTCATTTGCCAAGGTCACAGCTTCTTACTAATAGAGCTGGGTCCAGGCCCAGGTTTCTTTCTTCTCTTTTCTTTTCTTTCTTTCTTTCTTCTTCTTCTTC